ATGAAGTCTGAAAGCACTTGATTATAGGTTTAAGATGTGAATGCGTTATGTATTTGATATCTTTTTGCCTCCAATTCTGTGGAAGCGATAAGTGATGAATCAAACGGATCGGATCGTTGAGTGGCAACAGTGTGTAGAGACTGTCGTCTAATGACAACATATACCGTTCCTGTTGTCTTTGCCTCATTTTCTGGGACTCAACCAATTGCCCGATCAGCTCGTTATCGACCCAACCTTTGGTCACAAAAAACAAAATATGTGACTCAAAACAGTGCATTGAAGTGATTTGTAATTAATTTAATTTGTCAACAGTTCATCAAATTAAAGGAAAGTGTGCGAAGTTTTCAATTAGAGATAACACACACAAAGTCTCTTTAAATATTCAATTCATGTAAAGTTAATTAATTCTTGTCGACAGAATATTTATTATAATTTATAAACTTAACTAAATTATCACCCATTACTTGTACACCGTATCTAATATTAAATTTTTATTAAGTTTTCACTTAAGTTATCACACTTTCAAATCGATAAAAACCCAAAACTTTTTCTAAAATAATTCTCTGAGTGCTTCACCGATTGTTTAAATGAAACCTAAGATTAACTGATTTTGAGGTTAGATTCACTGACATTGAGTTTCAAAAAATTCAAGCCTTGAATACAAAACAACATATGACACTAAAAAATCGGTCAAATATTTTAAAAATGAATATATGTTTTGATTAAGTCTATGAAAAATATATTTCTATAAACACTAAACAATAAATAAAATTCTGGTATTAAATATGACAAAATCTACATAATTGATTGATTAACTACACTAAATAAATGTCTCGACACTATTGGCAAACACTGTGTGAATGTCCGTTCAATAAACTAAACCAGGAGATTCCCTTTGAGATAAGATCTCAATTTGGAAATTTAAACTGAATTTGATGCCAAAAATATGCCATTTATTGGTACCTGCAATGGATGGCTGTTCAGTCCACCGGCGCTTATGTTCCAAGAGATCCCAAGTGGCGATACAGTGAATGCTTAGTCTAGAGAGCAGGGCAGCTAATGTAGGAATACTGGGACCAAATGTTGAGCCTATTATACAGGTTTCGTTCAGACGAACCAATCGACACAGTTTTAGGTAATCACTACACATTGCATACGAGCAAAATGAGACACATATCTTGTGGTCAATAATTAATAATTAATAACATACTTGAAGTGTATGGGAAAGGCATTCTTCATTGCCATCCAGGCCTCCTCCATAAAGTAGATTTTAGGTGATTGTAGGGCTCGGATAACAGTGACCAATGATTGCCAGTTTCTAAGTTTTCGCAGAATACACGCAACCTTTCCATCAAAAGTATGATTTA